CATTCTAGCTATCACGAAAATATCTATTCAAGCAATTCGTAACTGATTAGTTGGTTGTGCGCCGCAATTAAATCGTTTTTCAGGTGATTGGCTTCCGTTCTAGCCAATTGGTGGCAGATTTAAAAGATGAGCGTAAGCAGTTTTCAACCACACGAATTTGACCAGTGGACTTACTGTTACTTGTGGTGATTCATATAAATAGTAAGTAGCATGCTTTTGAAGTGCCTTCTCGTCTGATTATTATGTTGTGTACTTATTGGTGATTTTCGCGTAACGTAGTTTCCGGTTTCGGGGGTAGTCAGGGTCCAATCATTTTTGTGCTAGGAGTTCACCCTGTCTGCTAATTATTCCCATGGAGATTACGATTGACGGTTTACCGCTAGGCTAACAGGGCCATTTGCCTGTCCACTTAAGGACTGCCTAACCCACCGAGGTCGCCATTCCGAATGATGAAGGTCTTCTTTCAGATTGCAACAACAGAGTAAAATCGACCTATTACATTTATGCGGTTCTGTTGCTTTGAATTCCCCAGGAAATTAATGCGTAAACTTGGAGTAGATCCTTCGGAGCAAACATTTTCAGGGTCGGTTCGAAAGTTGATATGAATATTTGAGCTGAAACTTATCAGCTACTGTCGTATAACCGCTTAGTATTCTCAGACTTTCAAAGGCAATCGGTAGTATACACTGCGTAATTATTTACATACTGAGGGCTCCGGTACTAACTTGTACTTGTGTTGTCAGTATGATAAATATGTACGTATTTATATCATTCTCCACCGGCAGCGGTGTTCGATCATATTAAAAGTCCGTAACTTCGGTGAAATTACGGTTTGTGCAACGATTCCGAAGGTTTGCAAAGGCCAGACGGACTGAGTCTATCTGGGCGGCAACTCCCTCTTTACATTGACTTTCATAAATGGCGTTGTTCCAAGTCACCTTACACTATACCTGACGGCCACTTTTCTATCAACACAAATTCACTTGGTATGTATAATGCGGTACACTTGAATTCAAGAAATTCCGTGTCGTTATCGCGTCCATGCTAAAGCAAAAAAAGGTTCGTCGGGGAACGCATCTCCACCGTACTCAAGAATACAATACCATAAGCTGCTTAAGCTTTTGTAGTCCATGGTTTTGATTCCTGTCCATGGGAGTAGACTTTATTCCAAATAATCTTTTCGTTGGAAAATGAACATTCACAGTTAATTTCCAGACTTAGTCATAATGTAGCAAATAGAACGCTGTATCACTATTTTAGCATCCCTGAAAACTTAGATTGACGAGCAGAATGTCTCTATTTTACCTCTCAAAATGTGTCGATCGGCGCAGTCGTAGTTTAAAACTATGTACCTTGATGTTGACCGTTGTCTGCTATGTTTCTTTTCTATTGGTGCCCAGTAACTTTTATCTAAGTCACCCCAAGCTTCCATGATAACGTATCACATCAAAGGTTTCTTTCACATTTTTTGGGAATAAATTGAGTGGTTGTGTCTGCCTATGCGAGTGATACTGGTATTTATGAAACGTCTAATATCCTTTTTTACAGCTTCCCAAATGACCAAAGTTTTGGGAACTTGTTGTGGTTCTGATGAGACGACAACGAGTCACCACCAGTACAGTGCAAATACCGTCGTGGTTACAGGCTCAAGTGGAGCTCCTGCGCTTGTGTCTCAACAATCCATCGGCGCTACCTCTCCCGGTCGATTGATGAAAACACACATTCTCCACCCTCAACAACCCCAACAAATTTACAGTTACACAAGTTTCGCTAGTACAGGTCCTGCGGCATCTGGCTCCGTCACTCACCTCTCAGCTCCTAGTTTGCTCTCCGACAGTAAAAGACAACCTGTCGTTATCCAACAAACTGGCGGTCCCTCCACGTCTGGCAAC